GATGAAAGTCATTAAAATGTGCGTTTGTTTTTCACGCATACTGATCAGCAAGTTTTTTTATTTGCCAGGTAAAATATATTACTTTATATTAACTAGCAGCATTCTGGGAAGTAACTATTTGCCATGCCACGTGGAAATGAAAGAACTCATGTCTCTTGACAATGACAGAAACGGTCCAAAAATTCGAAAGAGTTTCCCGGTTTAGACATTTCTACCGTCTAAATGTAACTCTCGAGTAGCTCATATCATACTTCGCTTGAAACAAACAAAGTGCGCAGTAACTACCGTGAAATCATATTTTTCTTGTCTAGCACTAAATTAAAAGCTAATTTGAAACTTTTGCATGCAGCTATACGAATTCTGGAACTGCGTAAACAGAAAAAATTTCAAATATGATATTAAATTATTTATTGGCCTATTTTTACGATCTTTCATTATTTTTAAACAAAATTTTTATTTTAAAAACGAATAAATAGTATCTTCCAATGAAGTCATACCTGGATATAGAGGGCGTTGTTGCTATTATCAGGACATCTCGTACGGTGAGAAGAACAACACTCCATCATGATTTATTATTTTCTGTCGGACATTACGTCGAGAAGAAACTTGGTGAGTAAGAAGTCACGTGATTTTAGAAAGGCAGCCTCATCCGTTTAAGGAAAATGAAGAGCAATGACAAATCCCTGCTCTTTCCGCAATTTTTATTATGCAACTGCGTTGCTCTGAGAAGTCATGCAGCAGTTATTGACTTCTTTTGTTTTTTCAGTAGGAAGAATATCAGATGCCAGAGACGGATTTCGTGTCAGACAGAAACCATAATCAAAACAAAACTATTTAAAGCTAGACAGGAAATAAAAGAAACTGAGAAGGTGTTAAGAACGTAAAACGCTTTAGAAAAATTAAACGATATAATAGTTAAATTACTTTTTCGATTCTCTTTGTTTTTAATTAAATGAGAGAAAGAATTAAAATTTGTAAATTAAACTAATGAATTTGAGTTTACTTCTCTGTCAAGCATTGCAGATTAGTTTAGAAATAGGCTTTCAAGGCTAGACGGAGCGGCAAGCATAGGATTTATTAATTCAAATAAGATAACAAACATCCGTTGTTATAAAAATAAAAATTTCATCTTTATATTAATACGATTTAAAATTAAAATCATTACAGTAATAATTTCTAAAAGAAGTTGGGAAAGCACAAAACGAAATTTCGGAGTTTAATACAAATGAATATTTGTTCAGCTGAATGCAGCATAGCACACAAGGGCTACCTAGCTCAGAGAAGAAATGTCTTCGTAGAGGTCTTTCAATGGTAAACGATTCATGTTTTCAATACACATTGGAGAAAACACAGATATTGCCAATGTCTTGGCTGGGATTTGAACGGGCAAAAATACCAGTGTTTAACGATTTTGCCGCCGTTGGGCCCGTTGAGAAAGTTTCTCATATGAATGCGATAACCTATTTAAGATGTAGTCCGTTTTTTTATAATTTATTAGCATTTTTCATACTTTCTTTTGGATAACTTATTCATTAGAAATTCACATTACGAAGTAAATTCTAATTGACATAATTTATCCGTAAACGCAGATATTTGAGCTTTTGGATAGAGCTTTCTTTGTCCGTTGTATTTGCATACAACTGCAATAAATCCACTTATCTAAAATTAATCCAATTAACTAAAAAGGTAATCCACTAATGGCTTTGATGCTTTGGTTGCATATTCTGGTTTACAGAGAGAATTAATTCCGCTCTTACCAGAGCTTATCAGACAATTCCCCGAGGGGCCTCCCACATAAGGGCTCATCAAATTGGTCCCCCATGAAGGTGTGTACTTTAAGATAAAATACATCACCAATGGCCGAGAGAATAACACTGTTGAATACTGGTAGCTCGTCGTGGATCTTACTTCCTGGTGAACGAGCTGGCTATTCAATTCTTTCGCTCTTTTCAGAAGAAGATCTTTAAGACACCCATAAGCAAAAATTTGGAAACTTATTCGTTCAGTTGGGATAAAGTATTTGTTTTTTTCCGCAACTTTTTCTCCCTAAATTTGTTTTAGGAAAATGAAAAAAGAAAATGTTAAATTAAAAAGAAATCTTTAAATTTGGATTTGCTATCAAAATGCATATTTATGTAAACCTAATTTTAAATTAATTAATCTACTCATTAAATTTTCTTGAATCTGAAATAAATGTTAAATGTGAATAAAGTATAATTTGAAACAAGTGTCAGCTCAACGTGCAATATCTCTCCCCAGTTTCCCTTATTTTATCTTTAATAGATGTAGTCTGTGTGAGTTCTAGCAATAAATATTACCTACGAATTCTCTTGCCTCCAGACAAGAATGCGGTGTGTATCTCGGTATGCTTTCGTTTTTAGTGAAACTAGTAAATATATTTTCGAAATAAAATGACTAATCATTTCTATAAATAGTTTGACTACAAAATTGAAATGCCTTCACAAAATGCATTATTATGAATGAGTATTTATAAACATTTTGAAAATTGAAAATAATTATAATAATGAAATATAATATGAAATTATAATGACTAACTTAAAGTCAGCCGTAAATTAGTGATTTATAGTCAGTAGTACTATATATTATAACATGCTTTACAGAAATATTTTAAGTAGCTCCAAACTGAATTATAATAATTTATAGTCAGCCGTGGATTTTTGATTTATAGTCAGTAGTATTATAGTATATTATAACAAGTTTTGCAGAAATATTTTACGTAATTCCAAATAAGTTTTTTGTGGAACGTTATAGCAACTTACTAGATCATCACATTCAAAACTGTTAAACATTTGAGATATTGTCCGTGACCAAGTTTGCAGATAAAAGATTTGAAATTAATAACGCCCATTTAACAACGCGCCAAATGTAGCGTACGCGCTGGTTTCAGATTGCGTAAGTTTATATGGTTCTATATTTCTTAAGACGCCATTGAAATACTAGTTTAATTTTTAAATCCTTTTTTGATTTTAAATCCTTTTTTGATATCCTATGGATTTAACAATTTGGGAATGCCCATGATGAAAAGTCGGCAATAGAATTTTGGGTAAAGTGCAGAATCACTCACTGCTTGACGCGTTTTTAAGAATTGCACATACTCGGTATCCATGGGCACACCGACCTATTTTCACTTTAAAAAAAAAAATCCTAGAATTGCACAAAAATGGCACTGCGCACCTCCTTGACTTTATCTATGTACACATCGACATATTTTCATTTAAAAAGTAAAATAAAATTGACAAAAATCCAATTGTTTTTACCCTTGTAAAAAGCGGCAAACAAATAAGTAAGCGATTCTGCACTTCTGAATTCCGATTCTGATTATTTTCAAAGAAAAGGCATCATTTATTGTAGAAAATTACGTTTGAACAACCAACGAGATGAAATTATGCTTTAGCGATAAGTCGTTAGCGAAATAGCGATGCAGGCATCCATTCAGTTATGTTTAGCAATTTTTATATAAATTCTAATAATGATCTGAAATAGTTATTTACTCTTATGCTTCCATTCAGTCATGTTGAGCCTTTTTCATATAAATTACAATAATAAAAAGTATTAAATGAAATTAACCTTTCATCTAAATTAAAATATCAATCTTAGATAGTTATTTGCTATTATACTTCCTTTCTTGCCGCAATTATTAGGGTTGCGGCAATTATATTTGGCAGCATTGGCATCAACAATAGTTTGGCGATTTTTTACGGCCCTCGAAACCGAATAGTACCAATAACTGTTACGACTATCACATCAGAGTAGTACAGGTATGTTCATGTGATGTTATTACAAACTGCAATAACAAAAGATAAAATGCCTGCGAAGTTTATTAAATATCAAAATTAATTTTAGTTACATGTTATTATCAGGTACTAATTTTTGTTATCGCTAATGGTTATCATATATTAGTTTTATTTACCATATTTTGATAATACGACAATGAACGTTTAAATGGTATAAGGACATATTTGGTTTGGTTTATTTGTTGTTATTGTTTATGGCAAAGCACTCGAGGGCTATCTGCCTAAGGGGAGGGATGCCTTCGGGGAGGACTTTATAAGGGAACCTGGCTCGAATACACGTTACACATAAGGAACGAAAACACACGCTGAACGAACACGAAAACGCCCATGCAGCCAACTCGTTTGCGAGATTAGTCTTGGATAGAACTAGCAGGGTTCAGCAAATTTACCGCTCGGCCGCTGGGGGCCCATGGAAAACTTGTGCGCAGTTGGTATGGTTGCTTTCTGTGAAACAGTATATATAATCCCCAAGTATGTCACTGGTCACAGAATTAAGTATCCTAATTAAAATTCTCAGTGTTTTCACAGAATACAATAAAAATACGGAGACAAGCAAGATATTCCTCCCGGTAAGTAAAACATTCATCGGTTATCTTATGTTAAGATATCTGATAATATTACGCTTTAATAACAGCAACTGTTTAAAGCTCCAAATTTATCATTAGCATAAAGAAATCTGTATATGGCATAGAAATATTTTTTAAATGGAAAACAATTTCAAACGTAGAACGTAATTGTTCAAATTAAAAAATAATAATAATACACATTTTCAGAAACAATAGAGAACAAATTCACTTTTACCATCATTAAAATAAAAAGCAAATTTTATCAGATATATAAAAAAGTATGATAAAAGTGCTTTATACTATTTAGCATATAAAGTATGTACATGCGATATTCTTCATACAATTGACTGAAAGCATACCACATGCTATATTAATCCTACGATTCGCTAATAAAAAATGAACATTCGAATACATACTTACTGACACATACAGTTAAAATTATAAATTAAATTATAAAAATAAAATCACCATAATTTTTACATAAAATCGCCAACCATAAGTCTTTATAAATTAATTCTTTGGGGGTCTAAAAACTGCTTAAAATCATTGATAAAATACCTTAAAAGAATATATAAATTAAAGCAATATTAATTTTTTTTTAAATTTAAAAAACACGAACCTTTATATGAGCCATGAGGTGAGGTGTATTTATAATACACCGCATTTCTTTTGCCTAACATACCTGTTGCCATTCTATTAACAGAAAAGAAATACAAACACAACATACGTCAGGAAATAAACGCTCGAATAACTGTGAAGCATTAAAGATTTTCTAAAATGTGGGTTAGATTGTCGTACGATGGGGAGGATGAAATCAAGTAATGTTCACTCGTCAAAATTCATTCGTCAAATGATGTTATCAGTTTCAGGTAATCACTTTTTATATATCGATTGATTTTGATTATTGTTTTCGTTCTGTTTTGACGCAGAATTCTGATCGTGACCTTTGAATCGGGGAGGGGGGGATTGTTTTCTTACATGAACCTTCTCGATCGTCACTCGGGGTGACTCCAAGGAGCACGTGCATTAGCAAATGCTTTTTCCCGTTGTTCATGAGAAATCGCAGGTCTGAAGTCCAGTTTAAAAGAGAGCTTGATAATAACAATCTGAATCAGGGGATGTTCATACATTGAATTTGCGTAATTTAAGATCGGAATACAGGTGTAATAAAATCAGGCCTTTTTACTTCTCCTAGAACAGTCATATTAACAAAACTACCTTCCATAAGTTCATTTCAATAGCCATTCACCTTTTTAGTAAATACAGATTTTTGATGTTTGCTTTATCGTTTAATAAAACTATTATTAAATTTTGACGCATTAATAATTTATTTTCAATTATTAGAGTTTAAAAATTTAATAAATCAATTTCTAAATTAATAAAACTTTTTCTAAAGCGATAAAAGGATTATTAAAAAATAACTGAGTTTAAATAAGTAAATTTAATATACTTTATTTAGAACAAAGAACATAGTTTAAAATCATCATCACACATTTTGTTTTAGTAATTTAAATACTTTATCAGCCTTGCTGAGGCGAAACGCAATCAGAAAGGTTTTCCACGAAAGCTTTTCTCTCAGCAATAGTTTGAAAGGAAGGTTTCTAGTTGCACCTTTTGGGAAATAGTTGCGTTAAGCGAGCTGTTTCATGGAAACAGAAACAGAAGCATTTCTTCCATTTTAGCTGAAGTACGATTTTAAGATTTTTCATGCCTTCGTGACGTAATTTTAATAAATGAAATTTTGCTGGAACTGGAATCAACTAAAAGGCGGGCAGATGCTTTTACTAGCTGAGCTACTTTTGTCTAATGATCAGCTACAAATTGTTTGGGATCGAGTACGATGCGATTCGAGTAATTTTAATATGATGGACAGAGATGACTTCTTTTTTCAGTTGTGCCTATTTTCTGATCTTTGCAAAAGAGCTATGTTATTTTCTGATCATGAAAGATGAAAATTCTCTTTGAAATGAAAAGCATAATTGTGCTCATTTCACTTTGAGTTCAAATGTCCTCTTCTGATGTTTCAAGGTAAAAAGTGGCTTGAGATTCTCAATCAATTCTGATGATAAATTTTCAAACTGAATGACATATGTATCTGTATTCTCCTACACCTGGAAGAAAAATTCTGATTTTCGTTTATTAAAAAATATCTTTTAGTTATCTGAAAGAAAAGAGCTGAAAGTTTTTCTTGAAATTTTCCAAAGATGTGCATTGCTGTATAAATGTGCACATATCACCCCATAAACTATCAATATAACCTGGTGACGTAGCTCTATTTCATGACTGTGAGGATACTTCACATGTTCCAAAAATTGTAAAAAAAAAAAAAAAAAAAAAAAAAAAAAAAAAAAAAAAAAGGTGTCTTGCATTTACTAAAATGAAGGTTCTGTTCCAAATTTCGGGTGTAAGATGATGTTCAGACTTTAAATTTCAACTTCCGGTTCAAGAATGAAGAACACTACAATAGAGTTTTCAAACGAAACAAATGATGAGAAATCCAAATGTCTTAATTAACTCTGTATCATTTTATATTATCATAATTTAGCTTATTTCAAGTGAATTCATGAAAATATAGAAGTTTCCAGTTTATGGTTGGATAACAAGAATATTAAACGTGCAGGATGGCACTAAGTGCAACAGTGTGCAGGGTTACTGTTGCACGTTGCATTTAGTAGTATTTAGGCGCTGAGCACTAGTGTAGTGTTTGGTTAACTATTCTAATAATTAACATAGTGATTTACTATTTGAATAAGTAACCTCGTACATTATTGCACTTTAATATTTCAATGGCTTTTAAATTATTTCTCCCTTCGTATTATTTCTCATCCCTGAAGGACTGGATCATTAGATTATTGAATTTAGACAAAGCACATGAAGGCTATCTGCTTAAACTGTAAGCATAGTGCCAGTTTGCTCAAGGGATGAAATTTTAAGGACTCGTGAAAGATAAATTTAAGATGGTGCGTGAAAGATAATATTAAGATGTCTTGTTTCTCGCTCTGGCAATACATTGTTTTTAAATCCTATAAAGCGGGTTGGTTAACCAATAACAGGTTTATTTAATTTGAAAGATAATTTAAAAACCGTATGCTTTGCTGAATGGTTGCCTTCTGAAATTGCGAATGAAAATTAAATTAGAGATCTTGCTTTTCACTAAGTGACAAAACTTCACCACCGAGCAAAAATATTTCGCACCGACATGTGAAGAAAAAATTACTACATTTGGATTATTTTCGTTTTCTGTATTATGAGAATTTTACGATATTACTGGCTTAATATAATAGATGATTAAACTATTATGTAAAACTTCTAAAATAATACATGTTCAAAACTATGGAAAAAAATTATTCAAAACTCAATCTCACTGCAATCTATAAATTCAAGAAATGTTTTTATTAATAAGAATAATATAAGACCCAAATGTAACATCAGCCCTTAACGTATGTATTAATTTATCTTACAATTTCTAATACGATTTTTAATACTTAATAAGCTGTTCACATATAACTATTTAAGTTACATAAGTGTGTTGGAAGCCAAAAATCTTCAAAAAATGGTAATTTGGGATTTTTGCTCTTTCAGATTCTCTATAATTTTACCTTCTAAAACTACCATACTTTAATCTCTATGAAAATTAGAACTGTAAAAAATATAGTTTTAATTTATCATCGAATGCTTGTAAAAAATATAGTTTTAATTTATTATCGAATGCTTGTAAAAAATATAGTTTTAATTTATCATCGAATGCTTGTAAAAAATATAGTTTTAATTTATCATCGAATGCTTGTAAAAATATAGTTTTAATTTATCATCGAATGCTTTGACAAATAAAGATTTTTTATATAAAAAATGCGTTTTTCTCAAAATGTGATTTTTTTTATACTCAATGTACCCTTTCTCAGGAACTACTGCTCACATGTATGTAATTTTTTACGGCTTATTATGTTTCCTAATAGTTACTGAAATGAGCTTTTTGTGATAAACTAAGAAAAACAAGTTCCACAATTTTTTGTAATTAATTTTGTAATTAAATAAAACAAAGCTGCTTAATTTTACTACGCCTACTACAATTTTATATAAATTACTCTAAAACTCAAAATGCTTCAAAAGCTCATTTCAGTGTAATCAGAGGATGTACTTTAATTATACAAAAAATTTCAAACGTGTATCTAAAGCAGATTTTGAGAAATGGTACATAGAAAATGTCCAATTTAACATTGTCGGTATAGGGGGACGACCACTAATATTGTTGCGATCTATAGGTTCCTCTTTAACCTCTTTGTTGAGACTTCTTTAGAAAGGCATTCCAGCTAAGAGGAAGAAACTGGCGAATTATTAGAAAAAATTGAGATACACAGTAGTATAATAAATAACTAAAAAGAGCTGAAAGAGAGCGGGCATGTTAAACGATTTCTTTTTTGTGCACCAAAAATATTATCAATTCTCAAAATTACTCACATAATAGACTCTAAATCTCAATTCAGTTAATCTCTAAATATCACAGCTGGTTAAGAACCGAACTCCCTAATTCTCGAACCCGTATTTATATTCTGTACTAGTTCTGGAAACTTCTAAAAAAGTCGATCGTATGGCTTCGAAGACGTTTTTCCCCGAGTCATCCAGAATTTCGCCAGGTTGACAATAAATCGCCAAATGTCGCTAACTTACAAAAACGTCACCAAGGCCAGTCAGGAACGACTCGTTGCACTCAGAATTGAAAGCTCTACAATTCTGTTTACATAACAAACAAAAACTTGAATACAAAGGATGCAGTCCCAAATTCAATTAAACGCAAAATAAACCCAAAAGTTCATATCCTAAACGTAACAAATAAATAACTGATGTAAATAATACACCGCATTACAGAAATGAATAGAAACAATATTAAATCAAAAACAATTTATATGCTTACAAATATTTACAACGATATCCTATTTACATCTTTTTTACGAGCATAAAAAACGTAATTCGTAAAAAAAAACGTAATAAAACGTAATTTTCTAAATTAATCTGTTTGTTTTTCAGAAATAGTAAAATCTGTAGCTGATGAATGTGTTCACTTTTCTTGTATCAGAAGGCATCTATTCCTCAATAAACAATTAAACTAGAAACAATTAGTATAGTTTCTAGTTCTCAGACTAATTTTATTCTCATTCATTGTGAGTACTGGAGCAGTGGAGTAGTGAGCATAACTGGCGCCCGGGACAAAATACCTTTTTGGCGCCACCCCCAAAAAAAGCAGTAATATGATGTATAGAATATATTTTTAATAAGAAAATAATTCTAATTATAATAAAATGCTGAATCTGTCATAAAATATATTAAGAATAGTCACTACCTAATTACACTAGCATTTAAATTCGGAAATGTATCTGCGTCGGAGATTCTGTTTCTTTTCTACTACGGAGTAACATCTTGTGATCACATTCACTGTTCAAAAAAATTAGGAAATATTGTGAGTTCGGTATGAAATAACCAGATAATCGACAACCTTTTTGACTAAAGGAAATATATAAGATTATAAAAGGAAAATTATAAAGTTTACAAAGTTGGGAATATGTAAATTTAGTCTGTGACGTCGAAACCTAAGCGCTTTAGATGAGGAGTAAGGAGCAACCTGCAGCATTCCTTTTGTAGTAGGAGATTGAAAACATTTGACACGCGTTTACTACTTTGTAGCAGTGAATATACGATGTCTCAGCAAGATCACTTTGTTGAATCGGTAGCCAGGAAGGCCATCAATCGGTTACAGAAGAGTCAAACGCAATCCATTGTAGCGAAAACGTTAGGAGTTTCCAAAATTTCATTTCCAGACTATGGAATCGGTTTTGGGAAAATGGATATGTTA